ATCCATATTTTGAGCTTACAAAGACAATTTCTCCGAAAATCGAAAATTTTAAAAAAATAAATTGGTACTTTTTTATTTCTACGTGTGGTATCGACGCATGCGCTTGAAAAATTAAAAATTTATAAGAAAAATAAATTGGTCCCTCGTTTTACTGTGTGCATACAACAGTACATGTGCGCATGCAAAATAAAATTTCAATAAAAATTCAATTTCAAAATTCTGAACCCTTTTATTTTGTTTAAAAATCTTTTGGTCAATAGTCAACGCCTTCCAAAAAAAAAAAAATATTATTTATTTATTTAATAGGCTATTGTTTGGCGTTCTCGCACTATTATCTCCACACAAACAAAAGTTGTATGTAAAAATACCGAAAACTACTAACATATTAGCAATAATTAAAAAATATATATACATACATATATAAAAAAAAGTAGTACACTTGCATATACATAAATACATAACATACATATAAACATACTTACATTCAAGTAGTATATAGTGTATATGTAAAAAATGAACTTTCAGTAGGCAATAAATAGATTGTCGAAAATTACAATAAATTATTGGTTGTTTTACTTTTTGGTTCACTTGCTTTTTGCAGTTAAGTACATCTGTGTTCTCTTTGAAGTTAAAATTTATACTCTCTTATCGCTTTTTTGTATTTAAAAGCAATTTTATTTTAAATTTCATATTCGCAGAATAGACAATTTTTTGGCGGCTGTTGTTTACACCTTCACACTTCTAAATTAGACGCTATGAAAATCGACTGCCACACTTATATTATAGTTTTTAATTATTTCGGTTCTTGCTGACGAACTGGTCAATCAGCTGAGACAATTAGTTTTTGGATATTTTTTCCGATAGCCTTACAGATTTTTAGTCTTTCTCCGTGTATAAATTTGAATTTGAACACTTTTGTAGACGTAATTTAACTTACGAAATTAATCGGTAGTTTACAACCTTTTTGTGAACGATTATTTGTGATTAAAATCAAGAAGGACTTCAGTTAATAATTTTGATTTAAAATATATTTCAATTTTCTAATACTCTGACTTCGAAAAATGTTTTTCCAAATAATATTAATAATGTTTATTTTAAGACTGTCTCTTATACACATCTAGATGTGTATAAGAGACAGATATAATAGTTGCACATAAATGAAGTTAGCTTTGTGTGAAAACAAATTTAAATTAAAAATTAATAACCTACATATTCTAAAATTCCCAAATTTTCTAATTAAAAACTCGCAACCTTGCTCGCATTTAATAATTTCAAAATCTTTAGAACAAAACTCTATGGTATTTACAGCAATTGGTGGAAATATATTTTTCACCGAGAAAATACGGTTTTCTGATTAAATTGTTATTAATTATTAATTTAATGAGGGTTTAATTTCTAAATTAAGGTATTATAAATAAGGTCTAACTTCTAAAATTTCTTTAGTTTGCAATTGAAATGTATTTTGGAATATCGGATTCGGCTAAATAGTGAAAAATATTGTGGGCACTAAAATCGACAAGGAAAAATTAAAAAAAAATATTTGAAGATTTACAAAAGCATTGAAAAACGATGCTGATTGAGTGGAAAATATATATCTAACTGAGCTTAAAATATTGTTGAGATTTTTCTGATTTATCTAAATATTAAATCCAGTTGTCTCTTGGAACATCTTAACAGATTAAGATCACCTCAATTAAAAATATGAAACTAAAGCAGATTTTAGGTTGTTTTTAAGTGAAAGTAATTTTTAAAAAACATTTTATAGATAATAATATTTCCATTGCATCAATAATTTATAAGTTATTTTGGTCGGCATTTGTTGGAAAATCTTTTCATCGATGAACTTTTTATTTCAATGTAATATATATTAAAAATGCCATACAAGGAAGAGTAAAGAGTTCATACATGGAAGGGGTAAATTATTTATGTTTAAGTATACATTGTGCTCTTATGTTTATTTTTCTTGTAGGTTTACAGCGTCTGAAATTGTAATAAGATTTATTATGTATTATTATGTAATAAGATTTATTGCAATTAGTTATTAGTAATTTAGTTATTGATATGACGTTTTCGACATCTTCCAAGCCCTTTTAGCTTACGAAAATATTTTAGCCTAAAATTTATGGTTTTTAATTACTTTCAATTCATAAATGAGTCTTCAAAACTATTTTTTAACGTGTTGACAAATATTTTTTATACTCCCATTAAGCTTTTTCCATTATCATTTTAATTGAATTCAGTTTGATAGACATAAAGCAATGGCTAATAATGAGACTATGCCTTAAATTATAAATTCAACTGGACACAATCTCATATTTACAAATAAATCAAGATACATACATGCATTGCTATTATATCAACTAATAATACATACATATGTACAAGAAAACATACGTATAAGCATACAGACACTTTAAGAAATTAAATATAGCAAATATGTGAGAGATCGAAAAATTTAGAGAAAGAAATATGGAAAATTAGAATTGTTTGAAATTAAATGAAACCGAACTGAAAAGCTATCAACACAAAAGTATGTATGTAGATGAAGCGAAAAATAAATAAATAATAATAATAAAGAGAAAGACTTCAGCCAAGTGATTATCTTGATAAGCAAAGCTACTTTTAAGTGAAATTTAAAATAAATATAGGGCTTTAAAAATAAATTAAAAAAAAAATGTGAAAGGAAATGAAACACGAAGCGCAATAAAGAAAGAAAACAGTTTTTGGTAATTAGTATTGAGCAAAAGTTAATACAAAGAAAACACACTATAGCATCAAGAATAGTAGAAAAAGTTGGAGATTTCTTACGGTATTCGAGTTTAGGGACATGAAATGAGGGAATATCTTTGTATGTACTTAAAAATTCGTTGCGAGAAATCATATGATTATTTGAATACCTATAAAAGTGCTTAAGTATATACATACAAATATTCGATTCGATTAATGGTTAATGCAAGTGGGCTTGTTGAGCACCTGAATATGACATATAACGGTTGTGTGTGATCGATTGCTAAACAATTTCATAATATTTTCGAAAAAAAAGTGGAATTTACTTTAAATATGGCAAATTTGGTAATAACTTTAAGTGCTTTCAGGAAGAAAAAAGCAAAATGAGAAATAACGGTATAAATAAATGATTTAGTACGAGAGAAAGACGTCAAATTGAAGCGAAAGTAAATATAAGAAAATTGCAATAGGTATATAATTGATGAGAATAAAATCATTTTGTGAAAAAGTAAGCATTGTCGTTTCCTTCCTGTTCTTTATTGGCGTAGATACCGATTACGGAGTTATAACTGAGTTAACAATAGCGCGCCAGTCTTCTTCCTTTCCACTGCCAATTGGAGATTCCAAGTTTAGCCAGGTATTCTCCACCTGGTCTTTTCAACGGAGTGTCGGTCTTCCTCTTTCTCTGTTTCGCCTGGCGGAGCGACTGCTCGGTATTCATCGTTGCCAATGCGCAAAGGACCATAAATCTTTCGCAGAAGACTCTCGAAAACTCGTAACGTAAAATTTGATCTTTGTTCGTCGAGAGAGGACTTTAATTCTCAATTGAATACTCAGTCCAAAGTAGCACCTGTGAGCAAGAGTTATTTTGCGTTAGATTTCGAGGCTGACATTGTTGTTGGTGTTAATACTGGTTGCAACATACATAGACGAAATTATGTACGACTTCAAAGTAATCACTTTTAACAGTGACGTGGGTCCCAAGTCGCGAGTGCGACGTTTGTGATGACAGAAGATATTTCATCTGGTCTTCTCCTGGAGTAGATTGAAGAAGTCACACGATAGGAAGTCGCCTTACCTGAAATCTCGTTTGGTATCGATGGGCTCGATGAGTCCTTCCTGATCCTGATGGAGCTTTTGGTATTGCTCACCGTTAGTTTACAGAGTAGTAATAGTTTTGCGGGATACCAATTTCAGACATCGCGGCATAAAGGCGGTTCCTTTCGTGTTGTCAAAAGCAGCTTAAGAGGTGATGTGTGTTGATAGTCTTTTCAAGGGTATTTTCCAACATTTGGGGTGTGATGAATATCTGGTCAGCTGTCAGTTCTTCTCATCCCGTATTTGAATATTCTTTAGACGAGTAATTGCTATTCGAAGTCCTTCATAATCAGGCAATGGAACATTTGAACCATTTTCATCGATTAGGGAATCGGGTTCATCACCTCCCGGTGTTATGCTTTCACTACCATTCAGCAGGCTGGAGAGTGTTTTCGCAGAAATCTCGAGCATTACCTCTAACGGCATTATTGTTTTGAAAAGGACCTCAACAAGCGATGGCTTTTCTATGAATACGGTCTTTAAAAAAAAAAAAATAACAACAAGAAAAAACGTTAACTTCGGTTGCACCGAAGCTATGAGATCCTTCAGAAATACAAAAGATTTCTTACAAGAATTTGATTTTTTTCTTTCAAAATTTTAGATCGATATCTCAAAAACTGAGGCACTAGTTCGCGTAAGTGTAAATATACGGGCATGGCTAAACCGTCTCTAGTTGTCATGATGATAATTTTTACAAACTTTTTTAGGGTCTGGGGGTTACAAAGTTAATATAACTTGTGTAGGGTATAAAAATTGATTTGATTTCAACACTTTATTTTGACAATTTTTGGAGCTGATGACCGTATTTTTTAATAAATATAATTATTCTACGAGCACAAGGGAATTAACAGTCTGAAAATCGTAGTCAGAGAGATGTCTGCATTTGAAGTACGCACGATTTTAGACAAACCCAACACTTTAGCTGCCAACGATTGATTAATTTAGATCTCACAAATATATACAGTATTTTGAATCTTAGTCCACCTCATGAAACACCGCTGAACCCTACTTTGCCGACATCATTAATGGCAGCTGATGCATTCACATCGTTACCGACAACAGCTGTGAACGCCAACCTCAACAAAGCAACAACAACATATAGAAAAAAATAAGCTAGAATGGCGGAACAAAAAGCAGTCGCAAAAAGTTCTGTTGTTTTTGCGTGAAATTATTTGGCTTCGCATACAGAGAACGAAGCCAGCATCAACGAATAGCGTTGCAGCGGCAGCAGCGACTGCCAATCGTATTTGTGAATTCGAGGGAATTGGAAGTGAATTTAACGGGCGCTCATAGTAGCTTTGCTTTGCGCGCTATCTGAAAGCGTCAGTCAGAATATAACGGTACGCGACTTCGGTACTTATAATTTTAATGTATCAGCGGAAGTCGGAAGTTGTAAAAACAAAATTATGAAAGAATGTAGTGACAGTGGGGTAGAGCGAGAAAACTTAATTAACTAAAAGCCGTAATTTGCTGCCTGTGTTTGTGTTAAAGAGACACAGTGATTTTAATTGAGAGAATTGCGATACAAAATTATGTAGTGAAAAACAGGCTTAAGTGGTGTGGAATTCAATTAAAAACATACGCAGACAGGTAGTATTATTAAACTAAGAAATACATTAATAATTAATGTATATGGAGTAGAACAGCTGCAAGAGTGAGCCGTGGCAGCTAATAAAAAAAAATAATAAAAATAATTAATTCATGTGAAATTCAAAAAAATTTTATACATACATACATGCATGTACATATGTACATATTTGAATAAAAAGGCGCATAAAGTTTGACATTCAGAAAACAACAGTTACGTCGACTTTGTGATGACAACAACAACAACAACAGCAGCAACAAGCACGAGTGTACAATTATTTTGATGAAATTATTTTGCAAGATATGTTTTTTTGGTTTTGTTGTTGCTTTTGCCAAAAACGATAAAAGTCATTCATTCAACGTTGTTTTTGTGCTCACTTTTTATTGCCGTTCTGATTATTTCGTTGTTGGTGTGCTTTTTTGTTATTGAATGAATATTTCCGGGTTTAATGACACATCTGCTGAATTTATAAAATTAAGTATATGCATGTATTTGGCATATACATACACACAAACATACATATGTGCAAATATTTTTTATTTCTTTTAAATTATTAAGCGTTTATTTTAATTGTGTGTTCTCTTTCTCGTCTGATGCTGGCATTGCAGATGCTATAAGTAAGCTTGAAAAATAACAGTAATTAAAACAAATAACAATTCATCACAAACAACAAATACCAATACATAATTATGCTAAAATATATATTTCTGTGTGTATATAAAAATATATAAAACGCGCATACAAAACTCACAAACTGAAAAACAGTTGCCACAACAACACATTGCGGAATAATTTATAAATGTATAAATTATTAAATATAATGTGCATTATGTGCATAGTTTCAATATGAAATTTCATTATTAAAGGCTTTGCAATCGGCGGAAAAAGTGACAGTGATTGTGTGACAAGTGACGTAATCGTACGCCAACATTAATAAACACAAAAATATTTCCCTTTTCACTTGTAATTGAGAACAAAGCGCTTTATTCAAACAAACAAAAAAAAAATTGTGAAAAAACGCAGTTATTTTAAAAGGCAGACACATTTAGCGCGAAAAAAACTGCGAAAAAATCTCAGTAAAATATAACAGGTGAGTAACACAAGATAATAACGCTTATTGACATTAAAACTGTTATATTTTTATTTTTAAATAAGTTGCTGCGCATACTTGTTTTTGTGCACAACAACAATGAGTGCCAGTCTGGGGTGGGTAGGCGGTGCGCCGCTGCAGCTGAGGCAAATGCTTCCGCCTTTGGACAGCTGTTAAATAATTTTATAAAATAATAAATACATTTTTGCATTTCCTTCCGTCACATTTTCCCATATTTCAGGCTCAATTTTTGTATGTGTCTGTTCGTTTGCAGTGCATGAGTAAGATGCGAGTTTTTTCTTCTTTTTTTTTCAAATCATAATTGGAGTTAATGCAATGCTAATTTTAGCGTGTCGGTTAATAAATTAATGTAATAAAGTTAATAAATAAATACAAAAGTAGAAAGCAGCAAAAACGTTTAAAATCGAAGTTGTATCACCTTTCAACCACAAGAACTTTCCTTTGATCGGTGAGTTTGTATGTCAGTTAAATGCTATGGTTGCCCGATCTGGAAAATTTCTTCAGATATTTTAGCCTTGCTTAGAACAATAATCCATTCAAAATTTCGTATTTTTACCTCAAATAAAACAGTTTTCCATACAATACTTTGATTTTGATCGTTCAGTTTGTATGACATCTACATATGTACATATATGTACATATGCTATAGTCGTTCTGACGAATGAGCAGCCTCTTGGAGGGAAATGGACGCGTGCGAAATTTCAGAGTGATATCTCAGAAACTGAGAGTAATTTTATCAAATACGGTCGAAGTCAGTTCAAGTTTGGGTTTAAATTTATGAATTTCATCAAAATGGAAATAAACAATTTTTATTGCTTTCCTTATTCAAATCTTTGTTTATTTTTTTATGTATTTTTTATTTATTAATATACTTTTTGATTTATTAAAAAGAGTCAATAAACTCATATTTAATTATATAAAAATGTCATGTCGAAATTATGTCTGTACATACCTCAAATACACCTCAATGTTCCTATTCAAGAAGAAAAAATATAAATAAATAAATCAGATGTTCTGTGAAGGAGTATAAACATATAATGTATAGAGGAAAATTTTCGTATATTAATATCTACTACCTCCGGGAATGAGCTGGTTGATGAGCTTGTCCACTCCATAACATCCATTGACGAGTTAGGACCTGAACCCTTCATCGAGGTGGGTATAAAAGAGCAAGGAAGCAGAGGTATTGGCAACAACTCCAAGGCATACGCCACGCCTAATAGGGGGCTACAACCTCAGCAGTTTTAAATATATAATCAACCTCCTTAGAGAAGAATGCCACTGCACTTATACAGCATGCGTAAATTTTAGCTTCTTGCGTAAATTGCCGATTCTGCGACAGGGAAACTGAAACACCAGAACACTTGTTAATAGACTGCATAGCAGCCTGCAGACGCAGGTTGAAGGCTCTTGACTCTTGGCTAGGGCACAATATTAATAATAATAATATACTATATAGTAAGTTTGTTATTGTTTACAAAATGGTTTTTCAAGTTCACTACATAGGATTTAGATAGTTTAATTATTATGCCTACCTACACTTTTGTAAAGAGACATTCGTATAGCTTATCTTATCAAACTTGATTACATAACGCTTGTAGACTAATATTTCTTGCTACAATATAACAAATCTTTCCATTGTAACGTTGGCTCCTAAAAAAGGTAAAGTACCCGCTCGTTAACCGCGATAGATTAAAATCGGCGATAACATAGTTGAGGCGATTACTTAGGCTTATCCAGGAGCTCAAAAAATGGAGATTAGGATACATCCACTAACAGTCGCTCATGACGCCCTTTGTTTACCTATACAATTTACATGACTGTTTGAGAACTCTTCCAAATTGAAAATTCTCATTCTTTATTTTTGGGAAGGTACATTTAAAGAGTTCCAGATTTTCAAAAAGTTGTAATGTTTTGAATTTCAAAAATAGGGGTTTACATACATACATATATCGAGTGTAACGATTAAGCAGAGCGTACTATAATTATTATCATCAGGTGTAACTTGTATCATCCAAAAACAAATTTCTGACTGATCAATTATTTAAAAAAAAATAAATTTTGAAGCGCAACAATATAGATAAGGGGTTGTTCAAGTATTACTTCAAGCATTTTTTCTTTTTGCGCTAAATTCAAATGTACACAACAGGCTGATACGTATTTGGTAACCCAGAAGAAATACAAAATTGCGTTAGGTAACCAAAGGCAAAATCCCGGAAAATTGTAATCCTAACTAAGGGTTGCAAATATTGCATTGGAAAAATAACTGAATTAACATTTATTTATTAAAAAAAAACATCAACAATTTTAATCCCAAAAACCGAATTGAAAAAATTACATCCAAATACCGAAATTATAAAAGAAATTTTAATTCAAATACCAGATTAAAAAAAGTAATCTCAAACACCGGATCGAATAATAGCAATAATTTTAATCCCCAGCTTATAAATGAAAGTTTAAAAAAATAATTTTTTTTTTAGAATTTTCAATATTTTCGCGGTTGCGTGCTTCGTGTTAAACCCACATAATTCATAGTTTTTGAAAAGGCATTTACCATGCTCGCTTCTACATTATAAATATGCCGATATGTACATATGCATGTGAAAATAATTTCTCACTATTTTTGTTGTTCTTGCATTTGTTGCTAATGTAGCCGTTCGGTTGATTAGTTGGTTTTCGGTTGTGTTGCACGTGCAGCGAGGTCGCATGGCTTTGCTTTCCCCTTCGTTGTGTGCGCACTTGTTGTTTAGTAAATACATACACACATGCATAACATACTGAATATGCGGATAGTCTGTATATATACATATGTATGTCTGTATGTATGTATTGATGTTTGCTTGTTTGTTGCTGTTGTTGTTTCTGTCTGCGATTTGTTTTTATCCCCAGTTTCCTCTTAGGTTTTTTGTTTTCATAACGGTATTCGTGCGCCGCCGTTCTGCCGCTACTAATACCGTCGCAAAGTCGCTACGTAACGCTAGCGCTAGTCGCTACAGCAAACACCCAAGAGCATATGCATACATAAATATCTACAAATGTTCGCATGTTGTTATTAAATCTGTTCGTCAATATGTATGTATGTGTATTTGTTGTTATTATTGTTACTATTATTACTATTTGATATGTTGTGAGTTATTATTATTGTTGTTCGACATTTTCATGCCGCATGTGCACATGCATGCTGCTACCGAAATTTGTTATACTTGTTGTTGTTATTGTAAATTCGGGCACAAACCTACACTGGGCCACAAACTTCACGTATTATATAAACAAATACAATTATACATACTAACATAGCTATCGGCATATCTAGTTAAGAGCACGCGTCGTGCCTGTGCGACTGCGATTTGTCGGCCGTCGTGTGTGCATGCAGGCACACCGAACTATGCGCATATATGTATATGCGCGTGTGTGTGTGAATGTTTGTCGCTATGCGGGTTGACTAATTCAAGTTCAATGCCCAAAAAAACGTGCTCAGTAAGCAATGACGACAACAGCACCAACAACAACAACAACCGCTATAATAGCACCAACAATACTATGACGGCATGGCATAACAAACACGAAACAACAACAACTACAAAGTGTAAAAACAAAAACCATCGCCTGCCCACTTGTTTAGTGGGGCATTATTGGGGTAGTATTGGACAGACGGCTGTTGATTTTGGCTTTTCACTTAACTGGCGTGCTGTGGCCTGGCGTGGCGTATAAATTTGGCACATTTCGAACAGCTGATGGCCACGCGCATACCGGCGGCTCGCAAATGCAATTCACGTGCATAGAAATTAATGTGTCTACCTATGATTTGTGTGTATGTATTTATGAAGGTTCATACATATGTGCTTATTAAATACTCTTTTATTTTGATTTCAATAGTATCTTAATTGGATTTTATAAATTGTATGCCATGAGTACATAAGTACTTATGTACGAATATATAGGCAATACAAAATATGTTTGTATAATATTGTACAGAATTCGAATATTATAATATATTAAAAGAGTTTCAATATTATCGAAAACGATACAGTACTCTTTCATATTATTTTATTAGCGATTTATCCGAATCAGTTCGCATAAGCATTAGTGGCTCTTTGATTTGACCTTGATTGAATTCGAAAGTTACAGTACGAACACCTGTTTAACTGTCCAATATTAGTTGACTATACATACATATATTACATTGGTTGAATGTACCCAATATACAGTCGAACGACACGACTACAACGAAGTTTTTTTTATAACGAATTAATTTATAGAAAACTACAATTATATTAAATTTTTAGTACATTTTGCTCTCTTGATAAGGAAAACTTATAGCGATGTTTTCTATAAAATTTTTTTCTACGCCTATTTTTCAATGAATTTTATTTTGACCCCATTGACCTCTAGATGAGCTTTATTTCGCTTCTTGGTTCTTACCAAAGAAAGGACGAATATATTTAGTTTGTCCCGATTTTAAAATTTTATGATGTAAGTCAATAAGTGTGGTGTCATGACCAGAATCCTTATGGTGACTGATAATATGACAGTATTGGAAAAGCTTAAATTACTTGTTATTGAGAAATGAAGATAATAGCAATGCTTCGAGGAAATAAAATCGCTCAATTTGGATTATAGGTTCAACAAAAAAACACGAAGGTAAGCTAAATTTGCTTAATATGGTTTTTGAAGCCAGACAAAAAGTTAATTTCTCAAAAATTTTATTCTTAACCTATAGTAAAACAGCTCTAAGTTAAGAGGGGTAAAGTTTTTAAGGAAACAATTTTTTTTTTTTTGCTAATTTATTTCTTAAATATGGATTGAGTAATTTAATTCGGACCTTTTGTACATTATTGATCATACTTTTGACAATACAGGGTAACAGAGCTTCTCCGAGAACGTCTTGAGGCAAAAACTCTCTCCGGTGTTCAACATAACTCAGCTGAAAATTAACCGAAAATAAAAAACCAGGAAAAAATTATCAAATTATAATCAAA